TCTATTTTTTTGGTAAAAAAATTTTATTATCTTGTAAAGAAGATTTTTTTTTTTTTTTTTTAAGTGGGAGGGAAGAAATTGTCCAAGGAAAAGCCACTATCGGAAAGATAGGAAATAATCCTCAAATTCAAACTTTAAATTAGCCATAATCACTTTTAAGAGAATTGATAAATTACTTGCACTATTATATGTAATTTGTGTAACATTTAAGAGTTTGGGTCTTCAATATGTAGATGTTAAAATTAAATTCTGAATAAATAAAGAAGAATTTAGGAAAGAATGGCCATCTCTTATTATATCATCATGTGAGGGACAGAAAGAAAGAAAGAAAATGTAGATAGATAAGTAATTAGACATTCGGCATAATTGATCGCCTTAAGGGTGTTTAGATTATCAGTTTAAATGTAACTAATAACTAATAGATTTGATAATTATTATTATTTATAATCTAAATTATCTGATTTGTATAGGAAGAGAGTTAATAATTGATAGTTGTTTACCAAAAATCAAAACAAATACTCTTTAATACATCTATGACCATGGAAAGATAAAAGTTCGTCTATTATACACAATAATAAGAACAATAAGAAAAGGCAAAATAAAGAACTAGAATTATTTAAAAGATCGATTCATTACATATAGAATTGCAAGATAAACAGTAAACTGATCGAAACATCGTGTACGCAACAGTCTTTGTTGGAAGATCTACTCACCATTCTGGTACGTCACAGCTGGTTGAGTCCGGAGTAATCAGGGTAAAACCCCGGATATTGGGCGGGAAACCAAAAAAAAAAAGATAAACAGTAAACAGCACTTCACTTATTACAAAAACTAAAAGAAAACAATTATAAAATGCGTTCTTAGAACTAAAAATAAAGTTTCAAATGTCTGAAATTACATGATAAACATTCAACCAAGAGATATGCTTCATTTTAACTCAACTAAACACTGAGCTTACCGCAATCAAAACCAGCTCTCCCAAACGTCAACCCAACTAAGAATTTGGCAAGAATTTTATCTCTCAAGAAATTCATTATCTTCCCACTGCTCTGTTGTATCATGCCAACTGTATAAGCTGTGCTAATGAGCTCAAAACTTCTCCATCTCCTTTCTTTAGCATACTTTTCCAACCCCTTTTCAATCCTCTTCCATTCTTCATCCCCTGGCTTTGATAAGGCCTCAGCGAGACATCTGGCCAGAACGACACCATCTTCCAGAGCAGAGCATCCACCTTGGGCAATGTCTGGGGTCATGGGGTGTAGGGCATCTCCGGCAACACAAACATTACCCTTACTGATATTTCCCCACAGCAGCTCCCATGGACGTCTGAATCTCAATGGAGATGTAATAATGTTGTCTAACTCAGTGCTTTCTACAATGGATTTCAATTGATCAGGCAGATTTCCAATCTTGCTTAATGCAAATTGCTTCAGTTTAGTTGGGTTGTCCTCCATGTCTTCATCTACAGATGAACCATAAAGATTTAGGAAATGAAAAGGATATTGAATTCACCACCAAAATCCCATTAGAATGGTTGATAAATGATCATTACCTTGGATAGAGGGAGTGTAAGTTAAGAACCAATATACAGTTTCGTCATCACAAGGGACAAAGCCTGTTCTAACCCCATTGCCAAAGAATAGGAAGACTTGTGGTTCAAATCCGTGACCACCTTTGACATCTGCATAAGCCCTAATAGCTGACCTTCCTGTAAAAACAGGTGTGTCCAAACCAAGCCATTTTGCCACCACTGAATTAACTCCATCACACCCAATCAGCACCTTTCACATGCAAATCGAAAGGAGTTTAAGAAACTAGACACAATAATATTTAGATTTAGTTTTTTTCATCTTGGGAAAGTACAAGAATTAAGATTCAGGAATTCACCTTTGTTTTTATGATGGTTCCATCAGCCAGATGCACCAGTTTAAAGTGACCTGATTCCTCAATAGCAACGACTTTAGAGGAGAGCCTAATTGTCCCTCTTGGGAGTTCCTGTTCCAAAGCTTCAATCAAGAATCTTCTCTTCAAACAACGAACTTCATGACCTTTAAACGCTAACTCTGAAGTGACTTCCCCAGAAACCAAGGAGTGAGCAAGGAACCTGCATTCACAAGTCCTCTCAGGTCACTTGGACAAAATATCAAACACCTTGCAATCACTCCACTGCATTAAAAGAAAATCACCTCTGAAGCCGCTCGTGCTTCAGGCGAAGAGTGTCGCCTACCCCAACAGCATCCAGGGCCTTCCAAGCATTGCTCCATGTCAGAAATGCAAACCCAGCAACCCTCAAACTATCTGATGATTCCAACACCAAACTTCGAATCCCCAGTCTGTTTTATGAAACACTTGCAAAAACCATTAACTATTTATTCATCTCTAGATGAATAAAAAAAAGTAAGCTTAAGAGGTACTGTACCTGTGAAGTCCCAAGGCTGTAGTTAGGCCAGCAAGTCCCGCTCCTGCAATTACAATATCTTCGACAATTTCCATGGTACTTGTGAGTTCAAGGGGATAAGGGGTTTCTGGGACAAAGTTTTTGTTGCAGAAATGAATGGAAAGGTTAAGTCTTTATATAGGGATGATGATATGAGGGCCGGTACTGATACTGTGGAAGGAAGAAAATGGTGGCTACAGAGATTAGCGGCTTGATGATGGAAGCTCATACGTGTACCTCATTGCAGGCTTGTTAGATTACGGCAGCTCGTCCGTTTGATTCAGTAATTCCCATGTTGATGCAGTAATTTTCTCTAGTAAGCTTGAAATCAAGATCAACATTCAAACTTCGTCAGTACTTCCTGGTGTATGTGGCTAGCATCAAAGCCTCTATAGTTCTTTGCGGAGGATGAAGTAGGATCGACTATACGAGCATTGGTGGTTCTCTTCTTTGATGGAGTCAAATTTGATGGCGATAAAATAAAATAAATAATTTATAGCAGCCCTTGTGTGGTTTAAAATAGAAATAAAAAAAATGTCCTACTTATCTCCCAAGAGCCGTCCAATTTCGTCCCCCAAGAGTCGTGCTCCGCATCATTATTCTAACATAAAATCTTAACTCTGCGATTGAACATATGGTATCAATATTTCACGTGGTATCTTACTTGTCTATAGGCATGGTAATTTCTTTTGAGACATGGGAAGCTCTACAGAAATCCTTGTTGCAAGAATAGAGATTTTAAAAATATTTTTTTTTGTGAAGTAAAGGTATAGGTATTTTTTTTTCATGAAATTTTATAGGAAATTTTCTCTTTAAGAAGACCTTTGAAAATTTATATATAATAAAAATATATATATTTATTTATATATATATTTTTGTAAATATATTATCAATTAATTTTTATTCGTTCAACCGTTAACCTAACTTAACATAAATTGCCTAGCCTAATTCTTTTTCCAGTTTTAGTTTTCTCAAACCCAATTCAATAGCCCAATCTAAACTGAACATGTGTGGTCATTCATGCATTTTAATTTATGAACCTGCTATTGAACTTATTGCACGGGTATAGTATTGTGTATTTACTACAATTGGTTACTAGATATTGTTTTATTACATCATATGCTAATGTATTTACTTATTGAAATTGTTTTAAACTTTTACGTTTTTTATATATAAAAAAAATATTAAATTTTATATATTTAATAGTTGACGAAAACTCTAAATACTCAGTGAGGATTATCATTTCCTACTGATATGGAACAAAAACCATTTTTAATTATCCGCCAAAAATCCCCGTTACCTATCATTATTAGGGATAGAGACCGTGGGACTTGTTGCCATCCCTGCTTGTCTACGTGATATGCTACAGATTTCCAAACTTTGAACATTCTTCTTCGGACATCTTCTCTAGTATCCAAATCAAAATTTGGCTCCGTCTGTCCAAAAATTAAGCAAGCTAAGCATGAATCTCAGACTCTAAGAAACATAAAAAGACATTAAAGTCAAGTCATTCGAACCAACCTCTGGATCAAACATATTCTTCAACAATAGACATTCGCTTATCTCTATTGCATCAATAGTAGGAACATTCGTTGCAGGAAGTTGGCAACCTGTAGCTGGAAGTCCAGACATAACAGGAACAGAAGCCGATAATGACCAAGGAAAACCAAATATTGGAAAGACAGGAAATAATCCCCAAATTCAAATTTTAGATTTGCCATAACCATTTTTAAGAACACATTTGACAAACTATTTGCCCCATTACTCATGGTTTCTTACGAATTATAGATAAAGAGAGGAGTAAGAAAATATTATTTGGCATAATTGGCTGCCTAGATATACCTATAATTATGAAAGGATAAAGGTCCTCTATTATAAACAATAATAAAAATAATAAGAAAATGCAAAGTAAATAAATAAAATAAATTATTTATAGGATCGATTATTACAAACACTTAAAGAAAACAATTACAAAATGCATTTTTAAAACTAAAACTGAAGATTCAAATGTCTGAAATTACATGAGAAACATTCAACAAAAGAGATATGCTTCATTTCAACTAAGCAATAAGCTTCCCACAATCAAAGCCAGCTCTCCCAAGCGTCAACCCAAATAGGAATTGGGACAGAATTTTACCTCTCAAGAAATTCATTATCTTCCCACTACTCTGTTGTATAGTGCCAACCATATAAGATGTGCTAATGAGCTCAAAACTTCTCCATCTCCTTTCTTTAGCATACTTTTCCAATCCCTTCTCAATCCTCTTCCATTCTTCATCCCCTGGTTTTGATAAGGCCTCAGCGAGACATCTGGCCAGAACAACACTATCTTCCAGAGCAGAGCATCCACCTTGGCCAATCTCTGGGGTCATGGCGTGCAGGGCATCGCCAGCAACACAAACATTACCCTTACTGATATTTCCCCACAACAACCCCCATGGACGTCTGTATCTCAATGGAGATGTTATAATGTTATCTAACTGAGTACTTTCTACAATGGATTTCAATTGATCAGGCAGATTTCCAATCTTGCTTAATGCAAATTGCTTCAGTTTAGTTGGGTTCTCCTCCATGTCTTTATCTACGGATGAACCACAAAGATTTAGGAAATGAAAAGCTTATTGAATTCACCACCAAAATCCCATTAGAATGGTTAATCAATGATCATTACCTTGGATAGAGGGAGTGTAAGTTAAGAACCAATGTACAGTTTGGTCATCGCAAGGAAGAAAGCCTGTTCGAACCCCATTGCCAAAGATTTGGAGGCATTTTGATCCAAATCCATGACCACCTTTGACATCTGCATAAGCTCTAATAGCTGACCTTCCTGTAAAAACAGGTGTGTCCAAACCAAGCCATTTTGCCACCACTGAATTAACTCCGTCACACCCAATCAGCACCTTTCATATGCAAATCAAAAAGGCTTTAAGAAACTAGATAGAATAATATTCGGATTTAGTATTTTTCATCTGGGGAAAGTACAAGAATTAAGATTCAGGAATTCACCTTTGTTTTTATGATGGTTCCATCAGCTAGATGCACCAGTTTAAAGTGATCTGATTCCTCAATAGCGACAACTTTAGAGGCAAACCTAATGGTGCCTCTTGGGAGTTCCTGTTCCAAAGCTTCCATCAAGAATCTTCTCTTCAAACAACGAACTTCATGACCTTTAAACGCTAACTCTGAAACGACTTCCCCAGAAACCAAGGAGTGAACAAGTAACCTGCATGCACAAGTCCTCTCATGTCCGTTGGACAAAATATCAAACACCTTGCAAACTCCACTGCATTGAGACAAAATTACCTCTGAAGCCGCTCATGCTTCAGGCGAAGAGTGTCTCCTACCCCAAGAGCATCCAGGGCCTTCCAGGCATTGCTCCATGTCAGAATTGCAAATCCAGCAGCCCTCAAACTATCTGATGATTCCAACACCAAACTTCGAATCCCTTGCCTGTACTATGAAACACTTCCAAAAACCATTAAGTATTTATTCATCTCTAGATGAATCAAAAAAAGTAAGCATAAGAAGTACAGTACCTGTGAAGTCCCAAGGCTGTAGCCAGGCCAGCAAGTCCAGCTCCTGCAATTACAATATCTTCAACAATTTCCATGGTACCGGTGGGTTTTACGGGATAAGGGGTTTCTGGGACAAAGGTTTTGTTGCAGAAATGAATGGAAAGGTTAAATCTTTATATAGGGATGAAGATATGAAGACCGGTACTGATACAGTGCAAGGAAGAAAATGGTGGCTACAAAGATTGGCGGCCTGGTTATCCAAACAAACAACAGAGAGGTTAGACCTCTTCCTTACTCTTATCCTCTTACCCTCCAACTTCCTGGTTCCAAACAAAATGTGAAGTAGGTGGAAAAACGGAGAGGTAGATGGAGAGGTAGATGGAGGAGTGACGGATTCCTCTGAATCCCTTATTTATTTTTATTTTTTAGATAAAAGAGTAGTATTTCTCCACTTTAGAGGAATTTAGAGAGATTTAATTTGCTTCTATTTTTTCTTTTTTCTTTTTTCTTTTTAAATGTAATTAAAATTTTTATTTTAACTTTTATTTTAATACATAAAATTTTAAAATTTTAATTAATTTTTTAAAATTTATTTAATTAAATTAAAATATATAATCTTTCTCCTCTCTCTCCATCCTCTTTATAAATCTATTAAAACAAAATTAATATTAATTCTTCTTCTCTTTCCCTTTCCCTTTCCCTCTCTTTTCTTCTCCTCACTTTACTAACTTTTATGCAAACATACCCTAAAGTCTCTATAGTGAGCTTTTTCTTTTTTTTAATTTCTCAATTTATAAATTTTGAACTTGTTCTTTGGGAAGTATGAAATGGGACCAACTATATGAGTTTGAACTTCTTCTTTGGGAAGTATGAAATGGGACCAACCATATGAGTATTGGTGGTTTCTCTTCTTTGATGGAGTCAAATTTAATGGTGATAAAATAAAAAAGGAGTATAGATTTATTTATATATAACTTTTACATACTATACTTATATAAAATTTTAATTATTCACTTTTTTATTTTTATTGATTAAAATTTATTCACGTCTTTTTAAATAAAACAGATAATTATTTTTAATAAATATAATAATAAATAAATAAATCTCAAAGATAAATTATTAAAATTTTATATAAGTGTTATTAAAAAAATTTGTGTATAAATAAAAATTACTCTTTAAAAAAATTTATAGCAGCCACAAGGGCTACCCTATGGTTTAAATAGGTTAAAACTGGGTTACATATATATATATATATATATATGAGTATTTACTATAAGAAAGAAATGAAAAATCAAGAACCATGATATTAAAAATGTTATAATGCTAAGACTCACTATATTTCTCACAGTTTTTATATCGTTGTGATTTTCCTTTTTCTGACAATGTAGTTAGCAAATGAAAATCCCCTCGCAAAGATTCTTGCTTTGATCGAAGATGAATCCGATGCAGTGATCTAGCACGTCAAAATCTGTGTCGTTGGGGGTAAAGTAATTTATTTTAGTGGGAACTTCCAATTATCTCGCGTTAATTTTGAACTCAGCTCCCCTCATGCGAATTTAAGGGCCCTTGCTTCTTAATCCCATAATCGGTTCAATGGTAAAATATTACCAGAGAGAAAAAAAAAAAAAAAAACAGATTCTTAGGTAAATAATCCATAAGAACAAACTTTTGTACCATAACAAAACATGGTAAGAAGTTTTGTTTTATTCATCTTTTATTGTAGAAATTTAACATTCACTCCTACTGGTACCTTCTCACTACCCTTTCTTCCCAGCGCGCAGCGCTGAAAAGTAGGCCTGAGGATTGGTTTCAAACACCGCCCTTGGTATGTAGGTGCCCCCTCCGCCAGGAGCCTTCATCATATCCACTCCATTGCTATTACTCCCGCTTCCTATTTTACAAATTATGAGGCCCAACACTACTGCTACAGCCGCCGCAGACACTTGTATTACAGAAGAAACACCGCTAGAACCGTCTCCCATTTTGGAAATTGAATTTTAAAACGTGAATATGAATATGCTAGGGAAAACTGATGCCTTTGTGGGTTATTTATAGGCAAAAAGTGGCAAATTGCTAGTTTAATGTAATTTATTTGACGCCTCTATTAACGAAGCATTCATCGTCCCCATACTTTGCATCCACCTGGCAGTTGTGACACATGGCTTCTTCTCACTAGCACAGTCGACGTTCTGGGAGCATCCCCTTTTCCTAAAGATTTTGAATGTCACTCATGCATAAATGAATGCATGTTTCTCCTTTCGATTAATTCGAGAAAAGAATTTTGACATTCATATAAAGGGATTCTCTGTACATGATTCTCCTTTTAAATGTAAACATTCCTTTCAATCAATCTACTCGTAGCATTTATACTCACTGAAAATACCTAAACATTTTTTTTTTCTTAAGCTAATATTACATCTTAAACAATAGTTTAGTTGAGTTGGTGTTTACTTTTTCAATGTCTTAATTCTAAAGCAAGGTTGAGTTCAAATCCCTAAAATAGCCAAAAAGGCTAACAAATTTGCCAATTAAAAAAAAAAAAAAGCATTGGACCTACCTCGTAAGCAGAATGACCTATTCTCTATTGCTGTCGGGAAATTTGGACTCGTATGTTTGGGGCACCTGCAAAGTACGGAACAAAGTTTTTTTCTGATAATATGAAATTTGTGGTAGTAGAAAAGAACATATATAAACCAAGCTGAATGAATGATTTACCATGAATGTTGCCGTGATCATCTTCCCAGCAAACCATCTTCCACTGAGACTGCGTTGAGCACTTAGTGCAGATTGTGTGTTTTCAAATCTCAAGTACACAAAACCATCACTTTCCCTGCTCATGAAAATGATATGCACATCAGCATCAGAAAGGGCTGGACAAAAGATTGCCTCGTCAAACAAACATATGGCATCAACATTTCACAAGATAACTTACTTGTCTACATGAATATGCTTCAGATTTCCAAACTTCGAACATTCTTCTTGGACATCTTCTCTAATATCCAAATCAAAATTTGGTTCCGTCTGTCCAAAAATTACGCAAACTAAGCAGGTGAGTCTCAGACTCCAAGAAACATAAAAAACATTGCAATCAAGTCATTCGAACCAACCTCTAGTTTTGGATCAAACATATTCTTCAACAACAGACATTCGCTTGGGACTCCAATTGCATCAATAGTAGGAACATTAGTTGCAGGAAGTTGGAAACCTGCAGCTGGAAGTCCAGACATAACAGGAACAGAAGCCTGTAAAGTTGGAGGAACCAAGGGAGGTACCCCAGGTGTGGCACCAAGAATTGCGGCTGTTGGTATGGAGCTACTCATAACAGGAGTGCTGGATAAACCAGGAATACTGAAAATAAAAGAAGCAGATATAACATCAGCTAGAAGATTAAAATAAAATACCAGACTACCAGGCAGAGTCAGACCTTGATGTAGTGCCACTTCGGTCCAACTTTTGCATGAGAAGCGCTCGAGAATGTGAATTCAGATGCTGAAAATTAGGAAAATTTTTCATCATATTGCTAGATGGAAAGTAAAACATGAATATCAAGAACCAATGAAGTGCACCAGAAATAAAATGGCTAGCAAAACAGATAACAATATAGAAGTGATAAACACAAGAGAAGAATATATTTCATGTCATTCCTTTCAACAGAATCTCTCTCTTTAGTAATTTCTTTAAGATGCAATACCAAGAACTGGACCTTTCATCTTTTACTCATGTGAAAGGGCAGTCTTTTCTAACCAAAAAATTAAGTGCCAAAATAAATACAAATTATGGAGCATCACCAAAATCCTGAAACAAACAAGTTAGACAATACTGACCAAGCCACCGCCTTCATCATCGTCAAGATCACCATTATTTGTGCCAACATCATGCATTCCAGCTTGGTCAGTAACAGATGACACCTAAACACAAGGAGAAGCACATATAAGACAACAATTAAAATATGAAGAGACAAAGGAATTTATGGTATTGCCACTTAGAAAGGTGGAAATATGAAACAATAAGGGAATAAAATAGAAATAAAATAAATAACACAAACATGAGTTGGGTGCTTTCAAGGGCTCTAAAGACAATATGCAAGAACTCTTTAAGGTCCATAGCATATCAAGGCTCAGTCACAATTCAAAGGTAATTTAATGATTACATTCCCTGAGAACTTGGAATTCAGAATGTATTTCTTTGTTAACACTAGGAAGTTGAGACAACAACAATGGCAGCAAAAGTGGTATAGGTTCTCTGGGCAGAGTTATAAACTATTGTTGTGAGCTACAAGTATTTGCATGACAGTAATATAGATAACAGAAGGATGAGGGAGCATGTGTGGTCAAAGTATAAATGAAGATGGTTGATATCCTCAGAACCTGCGACTTCCCAAAGCCTCAGCATGTCCTCAACCACTGGGAGTCTCAACCAATGCCTCATTTACTTGATGGCGATATAATAGTTGTTGAATGAGAGAAGATAAAAAAATGATGAAGCACTTATAACAGGGTTTGGGTAAAAGGCTCAATTTTGGGGCTGCCATGTAGCTATGGAATACAGAATTACAACAACTTGCATGATGCCAAGGCCTGAAGCCAAAACAGCAGTTATGAATTAAGAGTCAAAGATCATACTGCAGTCATTATGGTGTGGCATCAGAGTTCAAAACTTCAAATTTCAAATGAGGTGGGACAGCTGGAACAAACAGTAGGCCAATGCTTACAGGTGCAAGGAATACAAAACAAATGAATTAAAATTAACAATCACCTTAATCGGCCGACCTGCAATCTGCACCTCCCCGTTCATGGTCAGTGCACTCCTTGCATCTTCAAGACGTGCAAACTGCAAACAGAACAACCATTCAAAAATCCAATGCTTTCAATAGAAACACAATCGGACAATAAAAGCATCCATGAAACACAACGCTCCAAGCAGATGTTGATTAAATGCAGCGAGCTTTCTTACAGAATAGTCAATAGAGGGCTTTCATTATAATGTCTATCTACTTTGTCAATTGGTTATACATGCGTCTCCATTCAACAATGTAATATTTTAGCTCAAACAACTGTTTTGTGAAAACATTGTTGCAAAAACACTACAACAACATTTTTAGACAGCTTCATAAAGAAGTACACACCTGGACAAAACAATAACCTTTGCAGTGTCCAGCTTCATCTAGGGGCAATTGCACCAGCTCCACAGTACCAAAGGCTTCAAAAACCTACATTTGTCGCAAAAAGCAACTGTAATTAATCAACTCGAAGTAAATGAAATCCCAGGTGAATTCAGAGGGATATCCAACACAAATGAACATCATAAAATAAGCTCTAGTCATATGTATAAAACAACCTAAGAGTTTCTAGAATCTAGATTGATTAATGACCCTCCTAGGTAACTATAGGTAGCTACATTCAATATTCACTAATGGTCACCACACCTACCAGGCGAATTTGATCTTCCGTTATGCTGTTATGAAGGTTACCAACATACAACTTTCTAGCACCACCAGAATATGGTCCTAATTGTCCACCTGATCCTCCAGCAGCAGATGCAGTTGACTGCACAAGATTCTTTTCAGCTTCTGATGGTTTCACCATGACAGGTTGACCAAGAAGAGGCTGCCCAGAGAGTGCTATTGCCATAGGGACTGACATCACATCATAGAACTCAATATACCTGCCAAATGGAATTCAGTCAATAATCAGTAGAATCCAGACACACACAGAAATATACACATAACAAGATCAAAATTGTAAGTTTGTAAACCCAACCACACCAAGTATTGTCCTAGAACCAGTCTCCAAGATGAATGAGAAACCCCTTCAAAACTTTGGGAATATTTAACTTGGCCAATTTGAGCAAAAGCAAGAAGTCACAGTTAATAAAGAACTTTTGCATGACCACTTTTCAGTGGAAAAATTGGTAAGTACTTTGTTTTCAGCTGTTATGAACTAAAGACATCCATCATACTGACATAAATTATCATCGTGCACACTTGCCACAACAAAAGCCATCTGTTCAACAGTGTGCTAAGCAGAGTGCATACAGTATAATCCTTATTACTTCCTTATTAAATCCCATTTTAGATCAAACAATATATACCACAAGGAAAAGGAACAGTTTCTATTCACATAACCAGGAGCAGCCTCTCTTATCTTTCCATTACAGGAAATATCTTTCAGATAACTGCTTTTTACAGTCTTTCTGTTTCATTAGTAAATTATATCTAATGCAAGTAAAGAAATACTGCCTTTTACACTCTTATCCACCAATCATCATTTGGCCTGGTGGTAACCAAGCCTACATGATTTGGCATGATCTTTGAAGTTCTCAGTTCGAACCCTGGCATTTTCACTCCCCATCCCATTAAACAATTATCCCATTTCAAAGAAAAAGGTTTCAAATACTTACCCAACGCCCTTGGAACGTCTTGTAATTCTATCCATTATGAGGCGTACGTCTCGCACCTGAAAATTGAAATCAGGAGGCATTACAAAGATAAGTTCTAAGGAAAGAAGGAAAAATGGAGTAACTAGCACCAAAAATTGAAAAAAGCACCATATTCCATGTTTTTGCTTTGTTTTCGTGCTAGATGTTGTGAAAATAATTGCTGGAATGGAAGGATGTCAAATGGTAAAATTTAAACTTGTAGCATGTGTTATTGTGTTTGATCACTCTCACAAAATTGTGACTTAACAAAGTTCAATACATAGCATTTCAAAATCAATTTGGCACATTGAAGATTGTGAAAACCAGTATTATGCGTATAACGCATGAATTATAAAAGCTAGCTCCATAAATAGGTGCTCCAAAACAATCCAATAATTTAACAAAACAAAGAAGATAAACAAATGAAAATTAAAGAATGTAATAAAAGCAAGACTTTCTTAAGCAATTCTTGGCTCAGATTCAATGATCTATAAAATGAAAGAATAAATCCAAGAAATGCTGCTGGGGACTTTATTACATGACAAACAAAGCAAAATCTCCCATCCTGTGAAAGAAAACTAACCTTGCCAGCCCTGGAGAAGAACTCGTATATATCTCTTTCACTTGCCTTCAATGATAACTGTTGAAATTAACAAAAACTTTTATATCCAAAATAAAGGGAAATAAACATCATGACACAGCAACTACAATGGACAACTTAATAGATCTCGGTTACCTGATAAGCAAATACCGTCCTCTGATCCCTTTCAGGATCAGCCTCAGGCTCTGATGCTTCTTCCTTTTTCTCTTTTTGCCTCCTGCAAAAGGATGGAAACAACATAAAATTACCAGTCAAATTGTTGGATGCCCATAAAAGACAGAATAAAACCATAAGTGACTAAAATATTTAACAAGTGGAAAATGATATTAAGAAAATTTTCTATTGGGAAGCAAAGAAATTTGCAGTTGTCTGCAGCAGGCCATTACTTCCATAAAGAAAATTTAAGAAAAAGAAAGTCCAGAATGGCATCAATATTCTCCCATTACGCATAAATACACCGAACCCTTCTAAATAAACCCTGCAGAGCACTACACAAAGTCAAGAAAGGAGGGAAAATGAATGCAGATAAAGAAATAAAAGATTTCATCATCTCAAAAAGGATTAGCTTGGAGCAATGCATGAGTAGTAAATCACAATCTGAGTCAGAGGGGGGATTGCTGATAAACCCCATATCTTGTATAAATGTAATTAGAATTACCCTAAACAAAAAGGCACCATCAAGCCGCATGGCTGGTGATACCAAAAATCTAATTGCATAATCTTGTAAAGAGTTAGGAGTTTAAATTCTAGTAAAGCAAGATCCCTAAAAGTTAAAAAATAAAAAATAAAAAATAAAAAAAGGCCAAATCTAGTAGCTATGCAGGTCAAACTAAGAAAACAGAGAAAAGGAGCACAGTGAAAGCTGTTCTCAAATCTACCATTTGGTTGATAAAGAAATCAAAAACACCATCCCATAAACACAGGACTGAAAAAAAAAATGTAGGGAAAAAAAACAATGTAATCAGGTAAAAAGATGCAAGAACTAATCATCATAAGGAATTTAAGGATAACTTCAGTAATGATGATTATCTAAAGGAACTTGCATTCTTTGAATAGTTACAGAAAAACTGACACTAAAGCAATGAACCAACTTCAGAAACAGACATCAAGAGAAAGTACCGTGATTACCTAAACCTAACACTTCAATACTGATAGTTAAGCACAATTTTAGTAATAGTTTATTATATCCTGAAAAAAAAAGTGGCCAATCTTGTAGCCAACTGAAAATGCAAAAGCATCAGAAGATGAACTGCTTCTTAAGCATAACCAAAGTCCATCACTCCCTCACCAGCATTTCTGCAACAGAGTAAACACAATTAAGCACCTTAATTAAAAGCTGGAGGATAATGAAAATCATAGAATGACATCACTAGCCCAGTCAAAACCTCCAAGATTGAGGCCCCAAATCTTGCAATGCTAGCTCTCAACTATTTTAAAACCCATGACCTGAGATCCAGTGCCTGGCCCAATTGCCAGAAAGACCATCTGAAGACTTCTCTAGCATATCTGCGAGTTCCCATAATCTAATATTCAATACTCAGTATTTTAAAGACTATTAAATATCACAAGTAACTAAGAAAAACTTAAAGGCTTAATTATCCATTTAGATGTAATAGAGTTACAAAAGCAGGAGATTATAATTGTAGGAAACCAGTTACAGAAAGCATCTTTGGAGGGTTACCTAAACCTTCTATCCTTTTTGCGGTCAAATTGGGCTCCATATTAACAGCAAATTTTGGAAATAATGTAGGAATTAAGAATCAGGACTGTAACAAGAGGGGAAAAAGGGAACATAAAAGTGTACAAAATAACATGGCTTTTGAATTAACTGACAAATCGTTTCTTGAAATAACTACCAATGGAGTGAGGCATCTATTTACAAATTACAAATAACTGTCATCTTCAAGGCAAGCCTCCGAAATGCAAATAATTATGAAGCTAGAAATGAAAGGGAAGTCTTAGTAGATTACCACAAATGAGAGCAATAGGAAGAAATTCTAAAGTACAATTCACATAAACAATAAAAACTGCAAGAATACGCCAGAAACATACTAGCCATAAACTAAAAGATGATTTAAAATTACCATTGAAGAAACCCCAGGATATCAATTGGAGAGACAGGAACCAAAATAATGCCCAAATATATAATTTAGTCAATTTTCAGCTCTCTAGGTCTAAACTAAAGTACCCCTACCACATACAAAAAATTCCCTCAGAAATAAGAACCATCCCTTGCAATTGCTGAGAGTCAATGGCCAAACAAAAATGGCACAACAGAATCACCATATACTACCACCTAGAGGCCACTACCAAACAGGAAAAATATGGCTAGAGAATCTAACATTCTTAAACACTTACACTTCCACATATTTATGGCACTAATTGGAAAAATAGAAATGGAAAATACCATCCAAACAAATTCCAGAAATACAAATATTCATTGAGGATTAAAATAATTTAACTAAAATGCTAACCCTGACCCTGTAGTAAAAATTTCGCATAATTTAGCTAAAGAAAGCATGTGTTTTGAGAACTTGCTGAAATTTGTCAGATAATTGTTCCAAACATTGGAACAAAAAAACTACCCAACACCATCGCTAGGCCAGAGTCAGGATGGGAGAAAGTGGGTATCTATGAGAAACTGTGACTAATTCATTTCTCAGGATGACTCTTTGGATCTTTCACTAGAGAACAACACAAGTTCATCTAGGGTCTAAGCTGAAAAGAAATGCTAGGAAAAACTCTCAGTCTCAGCCTATCCAAAGTTCTATAACTGCCAAGAAGAAACAACTTAGAAAATGGCTAATTCCCCCATATTGCATTGAGTTAAGCATATGTCGAGCAATCTATCCACCCAACCCAATGGGGAAAAAAAGCAGCAATATAGTTTTCAAATAAAGTTGGTATTAGTAAAAGGCAAACAACCAGTTGAAATAAAATTAGTCATACAATATTTCATTTTTCCAGCAGATCACATTGAGTCTATTCTGCTGTCTCCAGCTTGACTTATGGTAAAACAATTAGAAAGGCATCCATCAAAAAGTGATAAGAAAAAGAAAAACAATAAATGATACTGTAATGGTAATTGCACCTGTTTTCTCTGTCAGGTTCCCGAAAGTCTCTCTCCCTATCTCTTTCTCTAAACTCCTTGTACTGATTCCTCTCTCTGTCCCTCTTGTCTCGATCACTTCGATGTCCTTCAAATTGATTCCTACCTCTCCATCGCTCTCTCTCCTTTCCCTCGTCCTTCTCAAGGTCATGAACATGATCTTTCCTATTTTGGTATCGATCCCTATCTCTGTGCTTCCCATTTCTCTCCTCCTTATCCCTACTCCTCTCTTGATCTCTATGCTCCCTGCCACTCCTGTATCTATCCCTCTCGCCATCTCTTGATCTTGACCGATGATGAGGGGAGCCTCTCTCCTTCCGCCGGTCACGTTCATGTGATTCATCTCCAGATTTTGAGCGCCTGGAATGACGGGACTCATCATAATCATTATCTTTCTTGTGATTCCCATGCTTTGAACTCCGGCTACTATGCTCCTTCTCTTCAGATTTCCCACCTCCATCACCACCATTAGCAGTTTCCTTTACTTTTTCACGTTCAGGATGCTCAACCGTTCTCTCCAGGTACTCGTATTCGTCAAAATCCATGTTAACTTAAATCTATAATCAACCCAAAAAAGACAAATCAAACAAGTAGGCAACAATAAAAGAGACGAAGAATATTGAAAAACAATTACAACATAAAAAAATCCAATAAACCAAAAACCAACGATTCTTAAGCTTTCACAAAACTCGGTGCAAATCAGAGCTAAGAAAGGAAGAAAAAATATAATATTTTCTCATTAGCCAAACACATTTTTAAAAACACTAAGTCCTTAATTTAATCCCTCAAAATAAGCAAATTTCCGTTTGGTGGTTGAGAAACCAGAGAGTAGCAAGAAAACAAAAGAAAAGATAAATAAATATATATATATATCAAATTCGATTTTTATTTCACTGCAATTTCTTAGCAGCCAAACAGATTGCTAGAATACAAATGAATTCAAGAGCTTACCAACTCCGACGACGAAGAATTCTGGATTCTCAGTGGAAGACTGGAGTCTTCTCCTCTAGGGCAATGGCGGAAAGGAGTGCTTTGTGTTTCAGGGGTGTCCGAATTTATGGAGTTTTATTTATAATGGACCCGGATTAAAAAGGCCCATATATAATCCAGACATGGACAGGATATTTTGGGCCATATTTTCCCTTCTTTTTGTTTTCCATCTGCGGCCTTTTTTCTGGTCCAGAAAGAACAGAAAAAACAATCAAATCCATCTTGAAATTTGACCTAATTGATAATTTCGCCCCTCTAACTTTCGATTTTGGAAATTTAACCCTAATTGATGGATCATTAAATTCTGGGAGCCTTTTTTTTCTTGTCGAAGGGATGTCACATGGTTAAGAGTTTAAATTTTCTTGTGCACAGGCATACATCTTTGAAGATGACTTTCCATTGAAAAGAAACAATACATTTTTGAATTAACGATCTATTGATCCGAGTGAAAAGAGTTCGGTTCCCCTTAAACAAAATCTTGAATTTGAATATTATAAATGAACAAACAGATACTATGAAAGTTTTTCCCAAATGGGGTCTAACACGACTTGATTTCGAATTAGTCAATATCTAATGTAATTATCAGATACCGAGAGATTAGTACAAAAAAAAAAAAAAAAAAAAAAAAAAAAAAACAATACATTTTTTAAGTTGACCTCATATCCATGAGAACAAAATCACCTTACTACGAGCATTGCAAGTAGCTAAGATCAATAATAGTTTGGGGGCTTTAAACTTTCTTATAGGAAATCCCAAGTTCAAATTATAAGATAAATATAGGATTTATAAAGTGAGAGAATTATCTAGATTTACCCCCAAAAAGAAAATTGTGTCAAACAAAGAATTAATTATAGAAATTGAATGAGAATTACATTGAACATATGAAAATTGTGTCAAACAAAGAATTAATTATAGAAATTGAATGAGAATTACATTGAACATATGAATTCAAATTCATTTATTAATGAGAAATACTTCATATGTAAAAAATACCTGTAGGCCCAAAGGCCAGACAATTTTAATTAACTACAAAGAAAAAGAAAAAGTAATTGTCAACTGATCAAAAAATGATATACTTTAGTTATAATGCCTGGTATCTCAGGCAATTGTAAGTAGAACGTATTGTTTCTTGGAAATCTAGTTTGGCTTAAATATTTCTTTTGAAGTTATACTCGAGCTTAGTCTACTGAATATTCAAAATCCCCATTGGCCACTATTACTTCCATTTTGACAATCATCAGGTTTCGAATCGGGTAAGTTCTGACTTCTTCCCGAGCCACGGTTACTTGCAGAACTATATTGAGATTTCCTTCATTGTTCTGCGCTCCTGCTGCTATGCCATGTTTTTCAAGGGGGTTTGCATTTGGAGTGCTGAATATTCCGTAACTAGGTACTGTAGTACCTGGTACATCGGGACCTGCTGGTTGCTGAGGAGGCTTTGATGCTTCTGCAACCTACTTCATTTGTCCGATTGAGCATGAGGCATTATTCAGATTTTGTGGTGGTTGCCTCCTTTGATATGAGAACTAAGGCTCTGGCCTAACTGGTTCTCCTGTAGCCTGTCCCTGGTAATCCATTGATCTAGGAGGTGGGAACTGATTACTTGGTTCACTCCTTTCGTATCTGTTCTCAGTCTCAAAAGGACCCCCAGGATGGGAGGGCTGAATTGTGTTTGCTCCTGGAGGTGGGAACTAACTCCTTGGTTCACTTCTTTTGTATCTGTTCTCAGCCTCATGGGTACTCCCTGGATGGGAGGATTGAAATGTATTTGCTCTTGTAACATCAATGGCTACTTTGGGTTGTACAAAGTTTGATGCATTGTCATTTTGTCATGGAGTTCATCTCTATATCCACAGAATTAGCAGTCGCCCTTTCTTTTTGATCGCTGAAATAAAATGCATTCTCAAAATCACAGCCTGAATCCTTAACTGACCAAGCAGTCACGTTTTCATCTGGCATTTGCATAGGCCCGTCATCTGGATCGGAAAGTATTTCATCTTTAGACGATGACACAGATTGCTGAGAATCATCTTTGCACAGTACATTGCTTTGTGGATTGATGGTTGCTGATTTGTTGATATCTCCAACAACCCTTAGTTTTTTTGCACCACTTTTCTTGGGTGGGCCAAAATTTACATGCTTGACTACCACATATGCCCGCCTAAATAATTCCCCTCTCTTTCATAATTTGCACCACCTTTTCAACTAAGTGTCTTTTATACATTTCATGATAGAAGTCCATGATTGTACAAACAGGTGGTTCAGTTGAGCTTTGAACCTGAAGGATATGAGAAAATGAAACATTGAGAAAAAGGTATAATAGACATGATGGGAAAAATCATAGAAGTTAAAAGATTAGCATTTTGTAAACTTGTACATCAACTAAATCAAGTTTCAGTTGCATTGTAATGCTTTTTGTCTTGAGAAAACAGTATGCCCTGCACAAATACACGAATATGAAATGACTTCAACTCCAACGTACGTACACCAAACAAGATGACATGCAAATATCATTCACAGATCATGTTCATATGGGATAACTGTCACACATCACAACAAAAACAAATTTTGCAGACTTTTCATTCTTCTATTTCATTTTTCCATTGCGCCTCCACTTCTAAGTTCCAAGAAAATTGTTTTTTTTTTTTTTTTTTAATTATAATATTATGACAACCAACCAAAGCCAAATATTGACATTTATGTAAGATGCTCAATAAATTAGAACACAAGTTTAAAAATACCTTCTTCCGTCACCAATCTAACAAACCAAGTTGTGATTTGCTCATTCATGCGACACCCATTCTTGCCTAGATCTTCCTTCTTCGGCTTAACCAGAAAAAAATTGAACAATATATCACATGAGCTATCATTTTGCATCACAAAATTTTCCCATACCCACTTACTCAAGTAAGCAACCCATCATCATCAAAATTCAATAACATAAAAAACAAATTAACACCAATCAGATTATAATGGAAACCGTACAAAACCAAGTGAACTGAATTTAACAGTATATCATTTGCAACAGAAAATCAAGAGGTTAATGAATCATATCCAAAGCTAAATCAAGATCCAATTACCCTTAATCCAAGTAGATCATGTCAAAATTTCATAACATACAGTTCACCAAAAAAACAAAAGAAGTGAAACCCAACTACTGTGATTAACAAACAAACCCAAGAAGGTTACTTGAACAGGGGCAGCAAAAAAAACCTGACATTACTGCAAAAAATCAGTGGGTTTCTTGCGTATATGCCAACAATGCTTTTCCCACACAGAGACACCTCTGTCACTAGGAGAAAGGAGATAGGAAACTTGAAAGTGATATCTTTTGAATTGTTGAGATATGATTTTGAGCTTAGATTGGTTAATTCTATGCCAAAATGCCATCTTTTCAGCTCAATCCGCCGGGAAATCAGTAAAGGTCCAGAGATGAGGAACAAATACCCTACTTACCTCAGATTTGGTCAAGGATGAGAAGTGGTTCTTCTGCGTCCGGTGAGAGTGGTGTTGCAAGCTTGCATGATGACAACTGACGAGCTTTATTAGCCGTTGGATCGGAGCAGTTAATCGGGTTTCATTGATTTCTGATTAGGCCCAAAGCCTCAAACAGGGACCAAATCCAACCCAGTTGAGTGGACAATTTGAATGAGCCCTATTTAGGCCTGGGCTTCTATTTACCTATCAAAATAAGCCCAAAGCAGTTGAGGGGGTTAGAAATGCCTTTCTCTAACAGCTTTCTTTTCCCTTCTGTAAAATTATTATTTTTTCTTTTTTCTTTGTGATTTTTTTTTCTTCGTGATATGGAATTAAAAAGTAATGTATTTGACGGATGTGGTTAAGGAACCCACCAAATTGTTGGTAACATACAAAATTTTTTTTAAATAATTAAAAATATTAATTTTATATTAATTTCAATATGTTAAGTAATAAATATTAGTTATTTTGTTATTTATTAATTAATAATTATAATTATTAGTTATTTCTAACAATTAAATTAAAAAATTATTATTTTAAAGAAAAAAATTTTAAAATTTGCATAACCTCAATAATTTATTGTACAATCAATATCATTTCTTAAATAAAATATAAATTGAGTCTCACATCCTACCAAATTAAAAATAGTCAATCACAACTTCAAAAGTTGGATTTATTGTTAATAACTATTATTGTGTAAATTAGATAGATTTGAAAATTAAATTTTAGAGCTATAACTCAGAAATTTAATGTTTTTAAATACATCAAATTAATATAAAATGTTTTTAAAGTTAGTTGATAAAAAATTAGTTTCCATGTTACTCTAAAAACCAAGGTCAGTCAATATTACCACGCGACTTCTAAAACACGTTGTACAAAATATTAGAGTATGACTTTATTTTAGAAAAAGTTTTCTATGGAAAATGACAACCCCTGACATAAAGATTAGTTGATTGAAAATATTTTCAATTGACCTCTTTCTTAAGGTTAAATACTTAATTTGATCCCTGAACTCTTTTTTTTAACCAAATTTATCTTTGAAATTTAAAAGTATTAAAATTATTCTTAATCATCATTTTTTATATCAATTTCATCGTTCCATTAATTAAGTGATGATGTCACTAAGTTTTTCATTAAGTAATTCAATTTCTTTTAATATTAAATATAATGTGAAAACTAAATAAGTGATATCGCATTTTTTTAATCTATGAGCATTCTTTGAAGCAATGTGATTTTTTTTCAAACTAATTGAAATTATTGTAATACCCCTTCGTTATCTCTAACAATATTATATAATGTTGATTGAAAATTATTTGTTAATTATACAATAACATGTATAACTCTTAACATTGAAAAAGCTTATTCCTCAATTGCTTTAATGAGAAATCCCAAGATTGCTCCCTATCCCTTCTTCATCCTCATCCTTCTTCCCTCTCCTAATCTCTCCTCCACAATGCGCTAAGCTTCAACTTTTGTTGATCTAGCTTCTTCTCCTTTTCTCCTCCATGGATCTCTCTCCTATTTTCTTTTCTCCTCCTCTTCCTCTCCTATCTCTTTCCTCTCTCTTTCTTTCATTTCTCCTCCCTTTCCTCTCCCATCTCTTTCCCATTTTCTTCTCGTCTCATTTTCCCTTCACCTATGATAGGTGTTGTTGGTGAGGTCAAGGGGACCTCTTCTACGATGTTCTAAGTTCTAGTGATAAGAACTTAGATTTTTTGTTCTTTTTCTCTCAAGAACTGATCTAGGTTCTCTTTTTTTTTTTCGATGGACCTTTTTTCTTTTCCCTTTTTTTTTTTTTTTTAGGTTTTACAATAGAGAACACAACATTTAAGGCTACAAAGTTCGAATGAGATGCAAAGATCAAGTTTAGTAGATTTTCCTCCCCAAATGTGGTCGATGAGATGAAGATTTACTTCAAGCTAATGATATCTAGATTTGTACTCAAAATTTCTATTAAAAAAAAAAAAAGAGAGGATGTTTTCTCAATGAAAAACATTGACTTTTTATGAAATTTGGAGGTTAATTTCTTCAGGTTTTATTTCCTATACTAGTTGTGCCTTTTGAAGCTTGAATCTGAAGGTTGAATTTGAAGGTTTTGTTCAAAGTTTGATGGTTCGAAGCAGTGAGTTATTTTCATACCAGTGTTTTTTTAAGCTTGAATTTGATGGTTTTGTAGGTTTGATGGTTAAAAATACTAAGGTTTGGGATTAATTCAGATGGAATGATTTTTGTTGTGTGGTTCATAAGAAGGTGAAGGAAAATTGAGTGGAAAATCTTAATAGAGTTTCATTTGTAGTGTGGAAATGGAAAAATGCTACAGTAGCAAAATGTAGTTGTTTTATTTTTATATGTCATTAAGATTTTAAAAAATGGCGATTTTTGTGGCAACTTAATGTGCCACCTAGCACTTTCATCAACATAACGACTAAATTAGTACCGAAAATAAATTTTAAGGATAGGTTTAGTTATTTTTGAAGTTCATGGATAATTTTGATATAAATCTGAAAATTGAGGGAACAATTGAGGTTTAACCTTTTTTAAAGGGTTGTTAAACACCAAAAAATTGAAAAATAATTTTTAAAAGCTATTTTTCGTAAATTAAAACGCACACTAAGAGAAGATATTGCAATTCAATAATTTTCTTTTTTAAAAAATATTTATCTAGCGTATTTATAAAAAAAAATATGTATTTTTTATAATTATCTTATTTTAATGAATTTTGATTAAAAAATTAAAATAAATTATTTTTTAAATAAAAATAATACTATTTAGTCTCTTCTCGTGATTTTTTCTAAAAAGACATAATTTTAAAGTATTTTATAACCTAATTTTTTATAAATTAAGTTAACAAACACTAATTGCTGTTCTTAAATATTATTTTAGTCATACATTTTCCTAAAAAAGAAACTCATCATGTGCGTTTTAACTTTAAAGTGTTGAATGTGACTTAGAATTTGTGATGAGATTCATTTTGATTATTCAAAGTTAGTGGTCAAGATGATTTAAAGTCAACTTAATCTTCCATGAGCCATTCAAGAAATGGTGTTTGGCTTTTTCATTTTTTTGTCCTACAATTGATAATTTTAAAGTATTTTATAACCTAATTTTTTATAAGTTAGGCTAACAAACACTAACTAGTATTTTAAAATAAAATAATAATACATATACCTTGTAAAGTTACACACTCCGTTACACACTAACAGATTTTGTTACACACTAATAGCCTCCGTTACTTAATTCATTACACACTTTCCTCGTAACTTCCCAAACTCACTCAACCCTTTCTTTCTCTCTCTCCTTTCCTTTCTCCCTCTCACTATTCCAGTTGGACAATACATTCAAG